GAGAGAGAGAGAGAGAGAGAGAGAGAGAGAGAGAGAGAGAGAGAGAGAGAGAGAGAGAGATGTGTGTGTGGGATGATGCCTTTCTCTAACCCTCTGTATAAATTTTGATTTCAACATTGGCCGATCTTGTTACGGCCGTTTCGATCTTCTTGAAAATCATTTTGGATTTTCTGCTTATGGTGTGTGTGGAATGAACTCGCGCACTTCCCTCACTCCTCCTCGCGCAATCTTTGGATGACTAGTTTAACTCAAATTTCATCACTTTCTAGTTGGACTCCCCCTTCTGCACTCGCGTTGGATGCGCTCCTCAAGCATATTACGGAATTGCCAACCTTCGGATCTTGTGTGTGGGATGGTGTCCTCCTCACTTATGTAGTTTTGATAAGTGGCGTCGGTCCTATTTTACTCATGACTGCCCCTGGTTCGTGTGTTTTTTTGTGATTGGTTTGACTTTCCCCCTCACTCCTGTTTCATTGTAGTATGGTGAGATCTGGCTCGACGATTTTCTGCGCGTGACCCCGGTGAGCTTGGGATATGATGATGTAGGATTCCTCGGTGACATGGCTTGATGCGCAAACCTTTGTCGATCTCTCGTTTATGCTTTTTCGGAGATTTGCACGGCCCTCGAGTTTGATTGATGCATGAGTTCGATTGATACCTGAGTATGCATGTCAGTTTCCCGTTCCCTTTGGGAAAAAAGAAGAATCTAACGAACACTCGGCGGTCCCGGCTGATGTATCATGTATGCTCTGGTGGGATGGCTGATTCAAATGTGTGATTGCCCGCGGATTGCCTTCCTAATGTCTGTCTCTTGACGCATGCACGGGCTAGCATGACGACAAATCAGACGATCTCCCGACCAAAGGGATAGCCAGTCGATCCGGTCCAAATGATCGCAAACGTGGTCTCGTGCGCATACGTGCAGGCTCGATGAAAACGGACATCGCCTACACGCGCATCTACAAGACCCGCACTCGAGTCCATGTCTAAACTCGCGAAATTCCGATAGGATGGATGATGGGACCCCCTTTCACGTCACAGATCGGGAGAGTCTGAGACACCGACGGCTCCGAGAATACTGTGAGTGGGAAAACGCTTGTCTTCTCGCACAACCCCGTCCCAACCATCCAAAATTCCCCTTTCGGACGGGAAACGAATGTGTCTGCGAATGGGACATCGAACGGGCCTTAAGCGCGATCCCTTTTCCTCCCAGTTCCCCAGCTCACACGTAAGCCATGTCATCGCCGAACCCGGCGTCGTCATCATTGAGACAGACTTCGCTCCCTACCGCCTCATGTTGCCTTTTCACTGCCTGACGACGGCCTCGTGGCACGCACTCACCCCCTACTGGCCTCAAACCCCGTGCTTCGAGTGCCAGCAGGACAGCGAGTACCGAGCCGCGGGATTCGTTCGCCGAACCGGACTGAGGCCGAACAGCGAGCACACAGCCTGCGCCTGACGGCCGCTTCGTCCGATTCGGAGGCTTGTCACGAGCGACGCTAGCGATTGGTTAGGCAACGCGACACGCATAGTGTTCCGCCACTTCACCAAATCCGAGTCTGGCCTCGGCAACGAAACTCGCGGGGATGGCGATGACATCCCCCAAGGCATAAAAGTCGGATGCGGTTTGCGATTGCTATCTTGCACAACTGCCCCTAAGGCTTGCCACAGGAGATTTCAGTTCTGACCTGGAACTCCACCCCCACTATCCTAAAACCCTTGGCACACCCCTTTTTCGCACTTTCGGCCCCCCCTTCCCACTCCAATCAGGAAGTCGCGCTGGGCGTGAGGTTTGGGCGTCACAGCATGGGTCCTGGCGGGAAGCGGGGAAAGCTTGCATGTATGGCGTTGGTGCAAAAAGAAAAAGGCACCGACACAGTTTTCCATCCATCCTAGTTTTAAAGCTACTTCAAGTTCGGAGAATCCAAAAGCAATATCGGCGCTTGGAATTGAGGACGTGAAAATCCTATATCTATCTAGCTTCCTACAGAGTATTCATGGATCTTTCAAGGGTGCGTGCAGGAACAAACATTTGTAAGAAAAGACACGTCAACGGGAAGAGCGCCCGTAAGTTTTGGAGTTTCCAACTGTAGACCAAAATCTGGAGTTTCGAACTGTCGAACAAAATTCCTAGCGCGCTCGCTAAGCCACACGTAATTCCTACATAGATGCATAGATTGCCGAAAGAAAATTGCAAAGAAGTCCAAAAGAATCGCCGTTTCATACATGAGCGGGCCTGGTTGGCTCATGATTCCATGCAGTGCCACTGGGGAGATAGCAAAAGCCCAAGAGAAATCCGAAGAGTTGGATCAACAAAAACTCGGGGCTTCAGAACATCTAGGTACGGAAGCTGGCACGTCACACATGGCCGTGTTCCCTATCTAGCACAGGGTTCATTCAGACTAGTTAATATAGTAGGTCAGTAGGTTGGGCAGTGCGATGAATGTTTGAGCTCATGAGTTCAATCCTGCTGGGCATCTTTCACTTCACCATTCAAGCACTTAGACTTTCACGGCGTTCATTCAGACTATCACTGGATCTCTCATACAATTAGGTTTCACTTTGACAGTTTGACTATCAATCCACACTTCAGCTATCAACTAGATTGTTCCATCAACTACCGTATCACTTTGACTATAAAATCGTCTATAACAGTTAAACAGTATCCTGCTATCTATAATCCTGTGCTAGATGGTGAGCCTCCGAGTTGCTCCTGCATACCTGTCATAGGTAAGAACTTGGTCACGGGTTGGGCCACTAGACACTGCCTGTGATACTAGGAATAGTGTATTCAAGATTCTAGTGGGGTCACTGGGAGGCTTGGATCCCCTCATGTAGGCCTGTAGTACTCTGATTATGCCTAGCTCCCGAAGGACCTGTGCAACAGGCTTGCACAATGTATTCGCTTCAACCTGGGCTTACGAGGGGTGTACGGTGTTCGTGTGTGTGTTTGAGAGCATGCGTAGGAGTGTGGGGCACCTGTAAGCCTTAGAGCAGGGAGTGTTCGGGTGTGAGTGAGGCTGAGTGATGGAGCATAGGGTAGCTGTAAGTCTCAGAGAAGGGGGTGTCAGTGTGCTAGTGAGGAAGAGTGAAGGAGAGTAGGGTACCCATGAGTCTCTACATAATGGGCAACGCTGAGCAGGGGGTGTCTGTGTGTGGGTGAAGATGAGTGATGGAGAGAGAGTACTCTGAGCAGGGAGTGCCACCCAGCCAGCATGGTGATGGGTGGTGGAGAGAGAGTACCCTGAGCAGGGAGTGTCACCCAGCCACACACATATACTGGGTAGCACAGGAGGGGGTGGGGGTGTACCGGGGACATTGACGAGGCTGAGGGGAACCAAAAAAAAATAAAAAAGGAACATGGGGAAGGCATTAAAAAAAAAAAAAAAAGTGTTTCGTTTTTTTTTTTTTTTTCAATTAAATCCGATCAGGGTGGGGGGAAGGTGATAAGAACACGCCTCTTAATCAATCTCAACAAATAGATGGGGCCTTCAATGCAAGACACACCAGGAATCGATCAACATTTTCTTAAATAACAAGCGAATTTCGAAAAATTCAACTTCCATAATGACAAAGATATCCTTATTCTGAAATACAAAGAAGCCAAACAAAAAACAGCAGACACCAATGTAAGAAAAAGCAAACAATTCAAAGCAAGAAGTTACAAACCACTCCGTTTCCAAGTTGTTGTTCAAGATCAAGCTGAATAACACATTAATGTCACCGATTTATGTCCCCGATTTATGACCGAATCGGATATAGAACACGTCACATGGTGATCTTCTCTTCTCTAAGTTCTCTTTGCTTGAAAGAACTTTCCGAAGACATATTAACTGGACTTCGCGCAACAACAACCCTGATAATACGATAGTATTGGGCAACAGATGACACGGCGTACCCCGACGTAACATCGCACGTACCCCGACGTAACATCGCATGAGAACATCTCAGGGAATCGTCGCAATTTTTATTCCCACCGAGGACCTCAGTGAGTCAGTGAGCACACACTGCCCCGGGCCGATGATAATCCAATATATTTACTGCCCCCCTTCTCCAAGAATGTAGACACCTAATCAGAATAAAATTCAAAGCAACGACTATCTCCAAACAACATCATGTCCTTCCTATAAACTCCGGCGGAGTCCGAACTAACCGAGGATTCAGAATCTCTACCATCTACCCGTGGCCCGTTGGCCAGGCCAAGCCGCCAAAGGCAGAATAAACTGCAAGAAACAGATGGGCAACAGCGAGCAGGCGGGCAAGCAGCACACACACACACACACACCTGTCTCTTATACACATCTAGATGTGTATAAGAGACAGGTCGCGTTGGGCGTGAGGTTAGGGCGTCACATGT